TTTTAATATTCTTTTAACATGAATCTCCATTAGGTGCCATCATTTTCATCTGTTATTGACAATGATTTTTATGCAGGCCAATGACCCGACAATAGAAAGAATTATTACTCCCCGTATTGCTCTGACAACGGCAGAGTATTTAGCATATGAATGTGGAAAGCACGTTCTTGTCATATTGACAGATATGAGCTCTTATGCCGACGCTCTCCGTGAGGTAACATCTGCATCATTATTCTGCTTCATCTGCCTTATTGCACTAGGATTCCCTTTAACAATTTACAAATCCTACAGCATTATATAAAATTGTATCTTGTCTTTTGTTCACAAAAATAGCTTTCGAATTAAAACAACCACAAGTGTAGGGTTCGTTAACAAGTAATAAAGTGGATGTGAGTCCAAGTATTGTCCCACAGAGATTGGTTAAGTTCAATTTTGATTATCGCGACCTTGACCTAAACAATAATAAAGTGATGTATGTGTTTATGACTAAATTATATCTAAATTAATCTACTTATGTAATTGTGACTAAATTAACTAAGATAAATGCAAATTATACTAAATGCAAGTTAACGTACTAGGATCCCGAATTTCCATGTAATAGTCTTTTTTAACCCTAATTTAAACATTTTGACAACACGATTGAATTATAAAGAATCAATATTCCTATTTTATTCAATAATCTCTCTCGAGTAATGTTAAATTTACTCTCATATATGATCCGACTATATTTCTAGGATGGATGCGAACATACAAGAGTGCATGAATTTTTATGAACATTTGAAAGATTTACATAGAATATAGCGGTATATTTCTATCCCCCTATTGGATCCTATGACGATTACACTATGTCGAGTCTATTTTCCTTCTTTCAAATGCATAAAATAAGTCACAAAATTCATACAACTACCGTGCACAATAATTTTAGATAAAAGGTAATCATGTAAATCGTTTAAAATCTAAAAAACGTGTTTTCAATGTCAATTATGTAAAGTGGAAATTGAAAACTCATATTACAAGGTTCATCGTTTTCCTAGCATAAAAATGTAGAGCCTAATATGATATTGAGAAGAAAACAAGAATTGTATAGAGTAAGTTATGTATTTGAATGGATCTTGACATCATGGAATCTCTCTTGATGTTTCTTGCTTCTTCTAGGCTCTCCAATGAGTACTAATGCCACCATTTTGAAATTATTCTCCTTCTAATTATGTTTTGAGAGTTGGTATTTATAATCTCTTGAAAGAGTCCCAAAAAGTCTCAAAAATATATTTTTCTCTCATTTTTTTTCAACGACACATTTTTTAATAAAATAATATTACACGCAAACCAAATTTTTTTCCTTATTTTTTAACTAAACATTCTTCATCAATCTACTATTAAAAAGTGCATTATTTTCAAAATAATTGGGCTCAAAAGAAAGTCTAGGTAGCCTATGCTTCTGAAGTTAAGGGCAGTGGCCGTCCGGCTTGTATAACTGGGCAGGTGCCCAGTTATAAAACCTTATAAATTTTCCTTTTAGCCATTGTCTTCATTCTTTTTTCCATCTTTGTCCTCGTGAAACTACTTCACTTTTGGTCCTTCAACTTTTATTTAAATACATATTAGTTCCCAAACTTCCATCCATTGGCCAAGTGATCATTCTTTCTTTTCCAATTGTTTAGAAACGAGTCCAAACTCGAAACAAGATAAAATTAACCCAAGTTAAGTAAAATTTAATACTTAAACGACACATAAGCTTAGTAATATGGCTCGAACAAGTGCACAAAAATGCACTTATCATCTTTGGTTTGATGTCCGGTTTAAATTTTTGGCGCATCTCCTCAAGTATTGTTCCCTATCTATTGGCATAACTGAGCATGTTTGGTTATGCTTTAAAATTAGTGAAAGTTACTTTTGAAACCTTTTGTTTCCGAACATGTTTGGATATGCTACTCTTTTTATTACATATAATTACTTGAAATTAACTCTTTGTCTTATTGTCAAAATAATTAACTTATTCCTTCTTCCACCTATAAAAAATTATTTATTTTATCGTATTTGTGAATAAGTAAACCTTTCAAGTTTAGCAAACATGCTCCTAAGATACTAATTGCTGCTATAGGTGTCTGCTGCACGAGAGGAAGTACCTGGAAGGCGTGGGTATCCTGGTTATATGTACACTGACCTGGCAACAATCTATGAGCGAGCTGGACGTATTGAAGGGCGAAAGGGCTCCATAACGCAAATTCCTATTTTGACTATGCCTAATGATGGTATAACATTTCTTTATCTCGTCAACTATCTGGCTATTGTTATTTCTTTATTTTGGTATATCTGTAGATAAGACTGTCTGTTTTGTTATGTCAATTGCCAGATATTACACATCCAACTCCAGATCTTACGGGCTATATTACTGAAGGACAGATATATATTGACAGACAGCTTCATAATCGGCAGGTACAAGATGTCTTGACTCGTCATGCAACATGAATTAGTTTATGCTTGTTGTCACAAATCAAAGTATCACCAATGGGATCATAAATCTTTCACAGAGACCATTCTCAAAATATCTCGTAAAGCCACTTGTAGTGGCAGATTATGAGAAGAATCATGTTCAAGAACCTAGAATTCAGATTTGTTGTTTATATTTGTGAATTGTTTAATTGAAATGATGTTGAATGGTCATTTTAAAGGCTAATGAGGTTCAATACTTGTTAAAAGTCCATCTCATCCCAAGTAGAAACCGTGGATAGAAATTTATATGTTTCTCTTGAATTTTGTGGACTATGAAACTTGCCTGAATTAAGTTGTCTATCTGAAATGAACAGATATATCCTCCAATCAATGTGCTGCCATCCTTGTCTCGTTTGATGAAGGTATGTAAGCTTTGGCTGATTTGACTGGTTTCACTTGGGACCAAATAAAGAATAACATGAACTCCATATTAATCGCATCAATTTATTGCAGAGTGCTATTGGTGAAGGCATGACTCGCAGGGATCACTCTGACGTCTCTAACCAGGTAAGAATGGCTATTTGTAGTACAAACATTTGAGTTTCCCCTCTCCCTCATCACCCCTGCACTCCTTCATGCTAAAGGCTTTTGATTTCAACTTTCTATTCAATGTTTTATCTGCTGATCAATTCTTTGTTATTTTTTAGTTATATGCAAATTATGCTATAGGGAAGGATGTTCAGGCAATGAAAGCCGTGGTTGGAGAAGAAGCACTTTCCTCAGAGGATCTGGTCTCTAACTTGTGAATGAACATTTAGAGCTTGTTGGCTAAGCTTAAAAATATTTAATCAATTAAAGAAATTACTTATTTTAAAACTTATTTATTCATATGTAAATGATTTAAGCTTAGCCAAACATGCGGTTAGTTTTGTTAACTTTCAGTAACAATAACCAATGAGATAACTGAGAGAATTCTGGTTGAATGTTCCAGCTATATCTTGAGTTCCTTGACAAATTTGAGAGGAAGTTTGTCGCGCAAGGAGCTTATGACACTCGAAACATCTTCCAGTCGCTTGACTTAGCATGGACTCTGCTCCGGATCTTTCCACGGGAGCTTCTTCACCGTATTCCTGCAAAGACACTGGACCAATATTACAGCAGGGATGCCTCTAATTGATGGGAGAAGCGATCTTTTTGTAGTATTTGTTTCAACCGTTGTGGCACATGCTTTGTGATATATAGTTCAACATGCGTTTCCTTGAGTTGTGTCTCTCTATCCCGTTTAAATAATATATGTTTTCTTGTTGAGTCCCAGAAATCTTAGGATTGTTCGGCAGTTTATGGCACTCATATTCTTGATACCAGTTAAATCACGTATTTCTTTTCTATTATTTAATCGGCTATATTTTGTTACCTCTAGGATTCATGAAGCCGCTGGAATGTTTTATGTTATTTTACTCAAATTTTAGATTGTAATATGGCTTTTGGAATTCTTTGTTGCTTCACAATGTTGTTCGGAGCTTCTTGGTAATTGATATCTTGTGTTTGGTTCATGTTCTTTTCATGTGAAAACGTCATAGCTCTTGCGGATTGATGGCAAACTTCAACCACCAAGAAAACAAATTAACCATAAAAATACCAGATTCAACATGGAGTTTATATTTCTTCATCTATTAGATTTCATTTGCGGCCATTTCCGCACCAGAATTCTCCAACGATGGGTTTGTTTCTATTTCTTAAATCTGAGGTAATGGTCAATTTCTCGCTTGGTATATGTAATATTTTTCGTACATTTCCTAATTGAGGGAGATGGTTATAGGGCTTTTATATGTTGCCATGTGTCCTTTGGGAAAGGAGCGCCAGCGTCGCTTATAAAACATCAATTTTTGGGACGACCCAAGTTTCATTTGCTCACTCTTTCGCCCAGTTAATCGAACTTAGAAAGTGGAAGATATGATTGTTAAGAAGCTCAAGAGAGGATATAGCCAGATTTTGCGCATTGAATGTGGACATAGATTCGGATTCTTCACATATTTCCTAATTATGATGCGACTACACGCTGCTAGGAGGCAAGAGTTATCTGTTAAAGCATCATGGAGCACTTTTTAAGTTGCAACTCACGATATTCTGAAGCACATAATCTTGTATGTTCTTCTCAGAACAATTCACCAACGCTAGCTTGCAACTTTTCACGCGCAGAAATCATATCCTGGTCACCTAATAATGTAATTTGCTGATGCAAAAATAGAGAATTCGGTTGAACTAAATTAAGCTTTTGTGAGTATTGTGGAGCTTTGTTTGATTACTAACAAAAATTAAAAAGAACTTGGCCTTGTAATGGTGTCTCTCTTCTTGTTATTATGTGTTTGACAGATTTGATTTCCTTGTTTTTACATTTGAGGTTTCTCATTTTCTCCTTGCACCATTTTCCTTCTGAAAACGATGAATTTCGTGAATAATGGAGGCTTCTCTTTCATACACTAGCAAAAGACCATGAAAGGATGTAGCATTGCATATACAATACACTACTAATTGCCAAATTCCTACATGTGTTTTGATTATGCTTTTCAGTTTGTTACATGTAATTGTGAATCTTGGATATATTGATTCCTTTTTGCAGCCTCTTCTATACTCTCCCATCTCTGTTTCCGTCTCATCTCCTCTTGATTAGTTGCAGACTCACGAAGATCAAGCTGCGACAGGCACTTCGAGTAGAGACTTGGTTCCATTTCTTCTAACATTTCCTGAACATTCTCTGTGAGTTGTTGAACACTTTGGCTCCAATGCCATTTCAGATTTTTCTCCATACCTTCAACTACAATTGGAAACACCTCTTCTATGTCTTGTGATGCCATTTTCACGAATTGCTCATTGTTCCAAATGTAGAGGGCACGTTCTGCAACCTGAGTTCAAAAGCACCAGAAGTACTCAATAAGAATAAAACAGAGAAGTTTCGGGTTAGTGAATTTATTATATAATAAATGATTTTCCATGTATAAAGATTAAAGTGACCGGCTTCTACAGCTAAGTAAACTGTGAGAGAGACCATGAGGAGATATAATATACTGGAAAGACAAAAATGTGTTATGATCCACATTACCTGTGAGTTACAACTATTCAAACACCTAGTAATTTGTTTGCATAAAGGTAGAGCTAGAACCCTGTGCTGTTCAGGTTCCATAATCTCTACCAGTTCTTCCAATTCCCCAATAAGCAGAACTTCCTTCTGACAATTAGTTACTGGCCAATATCGCAAAATTCCTCTAAGGACATCTACTCCAAGCACGGGCTCCTTCTCCACAAATTGGTAAACACAGTAAGCCAATTGCTTATAGTAAACCTGCATACCTTTTGGCCTGTGCAAGTGAATAAGCACTCTTGTCAAGAAAAACTTATGCTCTTCCTTCAACGGAACACTGAAACCATTGATGATTGTACCCCAAATCTCTAGCAGATCTCCAATCCCAGAGTGTTTCTGGTCTGTCTCGGAAATGTAATGAAGGAATACATCATTCATTGCTTTCCTCATGAACGATCTGTAGGATGTGAAGTTAGAGTATATTCGGTGGTAAACATTCTTCAAGCTTTCTCTTTCTCTGGGATCTTCAGACTGGAAAAGGTGGAGCAAGTTAAGTAGGAAAGAGTTATTTATATGACCCTTGAGTGTATTTGGTTCCAAGGAAATTATAAGGTGGAGGAGGATGTCATAAACAAGTTGCAAGTGGGGCCAGGCAGCTTCGGGTGTGGCAAAGACGTCATCATCATCCGGTAATATGCAGATAATCGAGGTGTTGGGAGGTGGGAGTGATCGAAAGAGATTTGCTGATATCATAGCAAAAAGTGGAGACAGGATTTCATCAGGAACCGGCCTTTTCAAAGACTTTATAAGACTCAACAGCTTCATGAGTTTATCGCGCTTGAGATTTTGCTGCAAAGGAGTTTCCAAAGGATCGGTGAAGGTATAGATATAGGAGCAGTAATAAATGATAGACAGAATTTCCTCGCATTTGGGATTACTACATAACTGGCCATGTTTATGGTTGTTCCCGGAATCAAGATCAAGAAGGTATTGAAGTGTTTTTTTCTTGGGAAAGATTTTTGGGCTGTTTCTAGGTACACCCATTTTCTTCCCTTTTTTCCTTATATTCTTCAATCCTTTGCTGCTCAAAATGTAAAGAGGAGAGAATGACTTTTGTTTACTTCATAATATACTTCTCGTGCAGACCTCAAAGAATCGGACAAAGGTAACGATGATTCATATGTTAGAAGTATTGGAAAATCCGACGTTAATATACTGAAATACAGGTAAGATCAGGTTTTCTTTTCTTCTTAGGCTTTGTTTCTAGCTTCTTCTTTGGATGCATTTAATAAGCCTTGAGATATCGAGACAAATAATGAAAGAATATTTGGAGAAAACAACGCACTGTCTTGGACCCTAGTCAGTGCCTCATGCATGTGCATTTCACCAACCATAAACCTGTATTGGACCAACAGAACATATAATGGAACAATGTGCCAGCTTGTATATACACGAAGAAATAGTTTGACTCCATGGAATAACGGTATCAATCATCTCATATTGCGATCCAAGATTTCTTTCAAAATTTTGGAAAAGCCTACATCAAATGTTGGGGACTCAGTCGAATTTCGGTATTGCATTTTATCCTCAAATCGATGGTTGATCCCAGCGTACAATTCAAACACTTGAGGATATGTTGTGGGTATGTGTATTTTCTTTCCAAGGAGATTGGAGGAAATATCCGCCCTTGATTGAATCTTATGCCGAAAAAGTTAGAAAGTATAGTGCTAATATGTTAACTCCCATTCTGAATCTGACCAAGATTTTGAAGACAACATAGTTACCGATATAAGCAGTGACGTGGAGGGTCCTAATGCGCGGGGATGACATTCTTACAAAATAATGCTATCATTATTAGTGGTGCTAGAGTATCCGTTTAGATTATCACAATTAATATGTTCAATTAACTAATTCATTTGACATTGTATTTAAATAGATTTATTATTTAATGTCACTTAGTTGTTACGTAGATTATCGCTTAGTATCAATGTGACTGAATAATATTACTCTTCTTCTATAACAATATCTACCTATCTTCAATTGGCAAGCCGCCATTTGAAGCATTTTACAGGTGAAAGTGTTATTTTGCCTCTTTATGAGGAATTGGGATGAGTTTGGTGAAAATTGAGTTTTAAGACAGAAAATGGTACTAGAAGTTAAACAGACCGTAAAGTTGATTTTTGAGCCCAAAGGGCCCTTTAACAGTCAAATTTGGGGTGATCAAAATACCGTTCAATAGTTGACCAACTTAGTCCACTATGAAAAGTAGGCTAGAACAGCCCAATAATAAGCAGAAATGGGCTAGCACTAGTGGAAGGTAAGAACATAAACTACATAATCACTTGTACTAGGGTTAAGTGATACGTAGCATTATTCTAGGGAAAAATTCACAACTCGGACTTTATCTATTCCAAAATAAAAAATCAGGCTCCAAGGTTTAGAATTGCAAAAATCAGGTTTTTCATTAATTAATTAATTATATTTCACAATTATTATATTAAATTAAATATTTAACTGTAATATAATATAATTAACTCACCTCCACCCCCACATCCATCTCTGCTCTAAGGACTACTTCGGTGATCGGGGACCATTCTGACTACTGTTCTCCGGTTACAGATTAAAAATTTTGTAGGTCACAGATTATTTCGAGGTCACAAATCTAAAATTATCAAAAATTTTGTAGCACAGATTATTTTGAGATCACAAATCTAAAATTTTATAGGTCACAATTGATTCCATTGTTCACTGATCAAAAAAATTATCGGTCACAAATTTTTAATTGGTCACAGGCTAAAAAAATTATAGGTCACATAGCAAATATTTCCAAATTTGTTGGTCACAGATTATATTTTGAGTCACAAATTAATGCATTCTAAGGTCACAGACCACATAGTTGGTCACATACAGCCAAACGCCCGTCTCCCAATCCCAGTACACCACTAATACTTGGTCACATGTCACAAATCAAAATAGTTGGTCACATACACCTAAACACCCGTTCCCCAATCCCAGTACACCACCATCGCCGCCTGTACCACCACAACAAAAAAACCACCACCACCATCGTCGACCCCATTATATACTTGTTACACCATTGACATTGTATCCCAACAATCTCAAAACATGTTCAAAAAATAAAAAACCCTCAAAACCCTCAATGATTAACAGTAAAGAAACTACATAATCAAAATGCAATGCGTTCAAGAACCAAATATTACCATTCACATGATTAGCTATTTGGAATCCCAGATTTCATCTCAAATTTACAAAATAACTTAATAAAATACAGATATCTCATCTCACTCCCCCCTTTCTTTGCAGCCTTTGTAAGCACAATTACAGACAACAAAATTCCTGAAAAATTCAATCACAAACCCTAATTGCACCTACAGTTGAAACAACTTTCTTGGATAGATGATACAAATTCCTAAAACAAGCCTATTACTGTTTAGTTAGTGCCTCCATGAGCTCGCGTGGCGACGATTCCCAAATAGAAAGATCAGTGAATTGTTGCTTCAATCTCTCTTCTTGGGCACTGCATAATGCTTCTGCTACATCGCATAGATTCGAAAGGGATGAGAGGAGGATGAGGCGGCGAACGGTGGAGATGCTGCTTCGATTCACATCAACACCTCGATGCTGTGTACGCCAGGGAGGATAAGGGAGAGAGGGAGAAGGGGGAAAGGTGGAGGCGGCAGAGGGTGGGGGTAGATGAATCACGGAGAGAAAGGTGGCGGTCGAGGCAGCGGGTGGTGGAGTGGAGAGAAATGAAATGGATTATGGTAGGGTTTAGATAGGGTTTTATATTTAAAATAAATTTGGTGGGGTTAGGTAGTAGGGTGTGTATATAAATTATTTTAATTTTATAATATTATTATTAATTAAAATGATAAAAATCTGAAAATTGAATAAATAAAGTATAAACCTGATTTTTAAAAATGTCAAACTAAATGCCTGATTTTATGCAATTTTCCCATTACTATTCTATATAGCAAGAAGCTGGTCAATGGTGATCGCAATCTTGCTGTTTATTTTCTTTTTCTTTTAAATTAGGTTAACTTTGAACCAAAAAATAATCAATTAATTTTAAAACACACAAAGAAAAATTGATAGTATTCTATGTTGAACTCTATCTTATATAAAATGAATCATTAAGCCACTGTTTGGTCCTCATTATTTTGTATTTTTTATGGTTGAAAATTTTTGGAATAGTGATTGATGGGAGAATATGTGGTGGAAAAGTAATGAAAAATTTTAGATTTGTGTGTAATATTATTTTATTTGATGAATGTGTGGTTGTAATAAAGAGAGAGAGAAAAATTTAATGTAATGTAATGTAATTTAATGGGGATCAAACATGGACTAAATATCAATTGCATTAAACTATTATAAGAATCTAGATATTACTTGTATTGTACCATCCAAAATTTTTCCATTGAATCTCACAAATATATAGAAGATGATCAATGTTATCTGACATCAATCTATGTAGCATTTCGTGATATGTTCAATTAAGGAGGTGTTTGACAATCATTTTAATAGAAAAATGTGTTTTTGAATAGTGAGTGATGGAAGAATGTGGGGTTAAAAAGTAAGGAGAATATTTAGGGTTATATGTAGTATTATTTTATTGATAGAATGTGTGGTTGAAATGAAGAAAGAGAATGAGAAAGAGAAAAAATTAGGTGCCAAATGGGGGGCTAACTGTGAAGTTATATGATTCATTTAATTGAATTTATAATTTAATGTCAATAATACTGCGAGTGTTAAATACCAATGGTACTCAAAATTGATTGCTTCAGAAGAGAAAATAAATAAATAAATGAAATTCCAAAATCTATTCATATACTTTACTACCCAGATTTCCAGGCATAATGCACCTAGAAAACGCCAGGACAATGTAATTCCAGAGAAATAAATCCCCAACCAACAATGTATAGAAAAAATTATATTGCTGTACATGACGAAAATAATTAGAAAATTCAATAAACCTTTCTCATTCAAGTTTATATTCATCCTCTTCTTGACTCCCTTGCTGAGAAGAAAACAAACTCTTCACGGATATCAACACGACGTCGTTGAAGCACTCGAACAGTCCACAGCACTTGTTCTTTATCCTCCGGAGAAAAGACCCGCGTTCAACCTGCTCACACGCCGTCATCATCGGCTGTAGGTATGCCCACGCTGCATGCTGCACCAGCGGATCCTTGATTGATATCTCCCGCCAGCTGTCCATCCGAGTCGTTGACAGCGACGACGCCGGAAGCACATCCCTCAGGCTAGTGTAACTCAAACACTCATCGTGAGTATCCATCTTAAAATTGAGCTTGATTATTATCGCCGATGGCGTTGGCTGAGAGGAGGCTTTATGGAAAAATAATCTAGATTAATTGAGAAAAATTCCACATTAGAACTGGCATACGACTAGAGCTATTATTATCGATTCCTAATTAGGACTTCATGTTTAATTGTAACACAATTAATAGATAACTTCCTTCGTTATAGAGAGAGAGAGAGAGAGAGAGACGGGAAGGGGAAGAAATCTAGACTTCTTTTGTATTTGTGACAGTGTGAGAGGGAAAGCACAGGGAAAAGGTCATTTTTAGGACGCGTGTAGCGTTGTGGTCCAATTTGGGCTGAGGTCGCGTGGGGTAAATTTGATGACAGTTTAGTTCTTGGGGTGATTTGTGAATGGCTGAATGTCAGCATGAACATATTCTTCATTTTTGTAGCTTCACAATTAATGTGACAGTCACTCAGATGAGCACGTCAGGTGCGTGATTGACTCGCTTCGCTTATTATTAACAATTAATTTATGCCCTTGAGCTTGATTTATAATGATTAAAATTTATTAAAAATCTGATTTTAATCTCTATCAATACCCTCGTTTAATAATCATTAATTGGAAACTCTTTTTTTACATATTCATTCAACCAGATATTTACACAATAAAATATTCTGTACGTAAATCAAAATTTTTTTCTTACTTTTTAAACACACGTTCTCCTAAAAAATACTATTTAAAATATTATTTTTGACAAAACTGGCCATCAAACAGGGGGGCTAAATTTTATCAAAGAACTTGTTTGAACCTTTTTTTAAAGAATGCATTTTGGAATAGTCGATTGATGGAGAATGCGTGTTAAAAAATAAGGAAAAAAATTTGGGTTTGCGGGTAATATTATTTTATTGAATAATGTGTGATTGAAAAGAAGAGAAAATTTTATTTTAAAAATAATGGAAATCAAACAAGAGTAAAATCTACTAAAAATCTGATTTTAATCTCTACCAAATAGTGGTTAAATAATTTAAGTGTAAAATTATACTTATAAGTATCAAACATAAGGAGTTAATTGTTACATCACATTGAACTTTGGATAGTGTCATGTTTCATTCACTGTACTTACACTTGTAACCCATTATTCACTAAACTTTATAACGTTGCACTTCATTACTCACCGAAAAACTCCCATAAGTAACCCTTGCACACTTGGACGACGGAATTCACAGCTAGTAGTTAAATGTCATGTCATATCTCTCGAACACCAACCAAACACGCCTCACCAAAATCAATTGAGAAGTGTAGAATGAATTCTATTTTATCGTCTGCAAGTTAAAATATACAAGCCATGTAACTTATTAAAATATAATATTCGTCTGAGGAAATTCTTTAAGAATTGATTTAACAGATATGTTCAAACTTTCTTAGAGGGTTAAGAAAACGTACCAACAATTTTTGAAGCTTTCCCGATCAATTTTAAATATTACACAATGTAGAGGAACTTCAGATCCTACCAGTTGTGTATTAGTTTATGTTGCTAGAACCACCTTGAATGGCCTTTTATGTATCGTTGTGTATTGTTACCCTAACTATTGCAACATACATATTTTTAAGTAGTTTTATCTCTTTCTTAATTTTTGAAGCAAATTTTCCAATTTATCTGAAGCCTTGTGCATTGTTGAAGCTTTCTATATCACATTAACTAAACTTTTACAGCCTTCCACCCTGTACCCTTGGAGGCATAATCCGGACAGGCGAGGACCATAAAAAATGCTCATCCTTTTTTAAAAAAAAAAACTAAACTTCCAACTTTAAATGCAGGTCACTTTCTTGACTATGATGGACACAAAACTCTTTATTCATCACTACTGTTAACTGTTCATTTGCTTCAAGAAATACTAATATTGTTTTTTTTTTTTTGCCCTTTTTGTGTTAATTGGAATGTAACTTTTCTGAGTAATGTTATTATTATTTTGTTGGATGTTCTAAAAGAGTAGTTATTGTTGGAACTTTATTGAAACTTAA